TGTAAGACAGTTCGTGCCAGCCTGCTGGTATCAGCTATAGTGGAGTGAGCATAGCATAGCTAGATAATATATTAGAACATGTAGAAAAATAACTAATAATGTGTTATTTTGTATGAATATTGAATGGTGTTTAATTTTGGATTTCTTAAACCATATTTGCTTTTAATTCTCCAAATAGTAGTAAAATGGCTTCTGTTGGCCGCTAGTTGCTACTTGTTTTAGTTGCTTATATGTTTTTATTAAAAGTCTTCTAATTCATTGAACTGCTAGCTATTTGAAAATTACAATATAAATTAGTTGATATGAGTAATTTTATATTAGGATTATAAAAGGGAAGAAGATAATATTAACATACTTAAATACTTTAAGCAGCATGGTTATTGTTTAGATATTAATGTTAAAGTTGGCCTGCCTAAAATCTTGCACACCCGGAAAAAAAACTGAAATGAAGCCCCTGCCTAAGTTACAACAGTCAACAATGAATACTTTATACCTAGTAATTTTACTAAGTGATTGGGTTAAAAAAAAACCTCAGTTTCATTTAGTTAATCCCCCCTCACTTTAGACAAATGTTTACGTTATAACAATAATTTTTGTATCGTTGGTTTTTCTATACGTTCTAATATATTGTAGGTACATCGTACAAAATATTAACAGTATAGGTAGGTATAATAATATGATGTGATTCTATTGAATGTCAGACATTTGTTAGGTATTAGAATTAAAAATAATATTCAGTAAATATATGTATATTATATTATAATTTAGAACTAGTGATATTTGTGTATGAATTTATAATATGTCAATACATACTATTCATTGCGATCTAGGTGACCTCGAACTTGGAAGGTATATAATGTTTGTCGACGATATGTTTTGCAGCACGTGCAACTCGCAATATTATCACGCAGATCAATCATAAATTAAACTTGTAGAATAATATGATTTTTGAGCTGAAACACACACGACACAACTGTTATAAAAATAAAACAACGTAGGTACTCGATGACTTATACGTATATACAATGTATATATGTACATGTACATTTAATATTTTATTTTTACACACTAATTTATTATATTATATTGTGACATATTTTGTATGAATAAAGAAAATCCAATAAGAGAATTATAAGCTAGTATATAAGTAAATACCGCCAAAATTACATCATAGTATTGCTTATCAAAATGTCACAGTCTCGATTCGACCTCAACACGGTACTCTGTCATTTTTTGTGATAACTTTTAGGAAATAGTGTAGATACTCAAATCATACATTTTATAGTTATTGTAAAATATGGCGGTATTTTAGTGTTACGAGTTACCACAACAATCCGTGACATTCGTGAAGCTACGTAGGTACCTATCTTAATTTTTGAGTGAGGACACTGTTTCCACTGACTCTCGAAAAAAGTATTCTACAACAAATATAAAAAACCGTAACTAAATTGCTTACGTTACTTTAGGTCATAGAGTTAGTTTTTTTATGACATCAAATGTTTTGAGAAAAAAAATAAGCTACGAGAATTGCTGGAAAACGAAGTTTCCTTATCTGATTTATCTGAAGATGCATTTTATTTCGAAAACCACTTCCTAATAATAATATTATATTATATTATCGATCGGTACGTGGACGTGTTTTCTGCTACGCTCCCCCGTCCGAAAGGCAAATATTCTAACCAACTTTGGTGTTGGTGTCCTCTAGAGATTCGTATAATTTATATTTAAATAAAACCATTGAAATGCAATACCGTTGTTGTGTTTTCATACGCCAAACTCGTGATCTAATGTAAAATTCAAAAATATTAATTGATACAATTCAACGAATATAATAGATTATAATATACATTGTTGCTTATCAAAAACCTACACTCAAAATATATATAGATGTAGATGCGAGATGTATGCAGTTGTTTTATAAAGTAATAAAAGAAAATAAATTACGATGTAACTCTAAATACGTTAAAAAGATCGTATTAGATGTGTACTTATAATTTATAAATAGAAAACAGATAAATCCTTTGCTACTCATTTTTCATAATAATTAATATTGTAATTAATGTACTTTTATGGCTTTATTGAAACCATAACGTTTATAATTATTTTGAATCTTAAAATAAATAATTTAGATTCATTTGCAAACTCATATAATATCATAGTTTAAATGACCATTGACCACTATAAGTTATTATAATATATTAGTAAATTAAATCATTTCAATTAAAAATGACTCAAAGTTGAAATTGTTTTTAAAAAACCTACAATAACATAAATGATTTTGTTTAAAAAAATGCCATATATTTCTTTATAATTGCCACCGACTTTTGGGGCTAACTAAACAAAAATTTACAATATAGTTCGCGTTTAAATTTCGAACTCATTTTAGCACTTTGAGAGAATATTTCAGATTCTGATCAATGAATGAATTAATATGTGAGAGTGGTAGCAAATTGGATCTCGTTGGTACTTTGGAGGGTCAAAGGTAAAAAATTACCAGTATTTTCCGAATAATCTGGGAAAAAAATAAGGAATAACGGGAAATTTTATACTCAAACCCAGTTTTTGACAAAATCTAGAATAAAGAATGATTTTATGGATTCTTGAAACTTCCTCAAAATGTTTATCTTAGTAATTTCTATACATGATAAAATGTTTAAAATATTTTCACACTCATTGGATATTTGACATTTTATATTGTTTTTTATCTTTTAAATTTTTCATATTTTTTTCTCTAATTGTCGACAAAAACTTGTTCACTCTGTCAAAAACCTTGAAAGTTTAATACGAGGTTCCTAGCGTTCCTCGTAAGTTTTTTCAATTGCTATTTTAAATTATTAAATATACACAAACACTATTTTTTTTCATGTTGAATTTTTGAAGTTCAAATTTAGACAAAAAACATTTAAACGAAGAATAACGATTTTAGTTATTTTGATGTAATCAAAAATATCATTCATGCTAACTTGAAACTTTTATTGTATATTATTATAATATTTATATACACAATGACATTTTCAAATGCAATGTTTTCGGCAAAAATTAATTCAACCTACCCTATTACTAATGGCAAAATAAATTCTTTTTATTAAATTTATCATACAATAAACAATTATATACATAAATTAACCTGACCGACCGTCTTCGGCAGTCCTCACTAAGAATCGTTTTCATGTGTAATGTGTAATCATTGAATTCAAATTTAACATATATATTATGGTGAATTACTTCACAATTACGAGACTAAGAGAGCGGTCACCTACTTCCATTTCTTTTTTTTAATGATGTTTTGAACTATTATATTATCATTGTTGTTATCCAAGGTTAGGTCAATGACTGGAGTAACAAATGCACCTAACACCCAACCTTACAGCTGTTAACCAAACGTTTTGAATCTAAAACGTAGAACAATTATTTAAAACAAATGGATATAGTTTAAAGATTAATCCCTACCGATTATATTATATTATTATGTATAAGTATATTCAATATTGTTACAACGAAGTTAATTACTTTGAACAAGAAAATATTATTGTTTTCTTTAAATTCTTCTTATTGAGACCATCACGACCGTTTGTACTTTCAACTTTGTATTCCAATACGAATGCATTATTTTAAACATATTCTATGTTTTAAACGATTATAAACGTCATGTGATAATGTGTCAGTGTGATACCTACCAAATCGGGATTATGTATTTGGTGATAAAAAAAATTGTCATAGTATTTATAAAACACTCATAATATAATACATTTTGTGTTAAAACTTTAAAAGGAAAATGGAGGAACTCTGTAATTTATTATTATCATGATATCAGTAAAAATAAAATGCCCACACTTTTTTATTGTGACACATGGCGTTATAACACGTAATATATACTTACACTGAACTTAGATTTGGAACTTTTACTGCTGTGTACATTAATACAATAATTTTTAATATAGGGTTCATTTTTGTTTCGTAAAATATATTTATAGACAAGTTATAATACTTATGACCATTTGGCAATATAAAATAATAGATCATTTGAACGCGATAATAACATATAAAAGTACCTTCATATTATTATATCACTGTCTTGTGCCGGTGACGAAACTTCATTTACGCAGCTAAATTTAAATAAAATGCAAATATATCGTATGAACAGTAACAATAGTACAAAGCATAGTGTGTTATAAATAAGTGCTCCACAAATCAGAATAGAATTTAATAACAATTTGTCATTCAGAAGTGTTAAGAAACCACTGTTGTACGCGAGAAAAATTAAAACACATTACACCTACGTCATAGGTGAGGTGTATCCATGCTCTATGATTGTTGCTGTTGTGTAGGTCCATTTGCAAAGTAACGATAGGTAATTTATAAAATAATATTGATGAAACACAATAATTATTAAGGAACACTTTTGGTAGGAGAAGTTTTAAATACGTATTATATATTGTGCATAAATCTGAAAGGACACTGTAAGTAAAAAATAAATAATTAAGTAATTGGCTCATCATTTTGAAAGTTAAAATTAATTAACGTTAAAAAATAATAATTTTGTATTATGTTTGGTTTACGACAACATACTGACGGCAAAACGATATACATAATATTATAATAATAATAGTAATAATATTATGTAATATTATCGATATTATTCAATCAAGCCATCGAGGTTTAATTATAATAATATGCAATACACACGACCTCGGCGGTACGCAAGCAGTTGGGCCGATTGTGTTGAAAATGAAACTATTTTTGTCTCTCTCACTCTCACTATTTTTCCAGTGTACCTCCGGCACCTGTGGAGGGAGGAACGCCGCCCGACTGGACGACCACAGCAATAATAATATTTTGACCTACTGACGCGCCATCGGTTGTCAAGTTATTTCGCACTCGCGCTGGGTGAACTTATATTTTATTTACACGCTCGTGAGTCGTCGTCGTAGTTCGCTCCGATTTCCCGCGAAAAACATTGTCCGAGGCCCGCGATCGTCAGACAGTCATTCAATCCGACCATGTTGGAGACCAACGTGTACAACTTCGTGTTGATCCCGTTGGCGATTTTGATATCGTACGCGATATGGTCGCGACTCCGGAAGCCACTGAAATATCGCCAGATCTCGTCGCACGTGCCGTCCGTCACGAAAACCCTTTGGAGCGAACTTCTCTTTTCGTGCAGCATTGCGATGAAACACCCTAGAGGTACCGATCTATCTATAAGCCTGGAAAGCGATATTATTTATTTAAATACTCGTTGTTGTAATTATAGTATATAAATGTATACAATAATTGGTATAGACGTATTATAAAGGTACAATACATCGATGAGAAAAGTCATTTTGTGCTTTACTAACTATAATGTTATTAAATAGCATGATTATACGATCATAATAATTATATTATACAGTTGTATAGTAGAACAATGCGTAAATTTTTGTACATAAAAAGTGTTACGGACTGCCAAGCATGCTCATTTAATACTCTCGTGATACCACTGATACATTTGAACAAATTTAAATTTTTTAAATTTTTGACTAGTAATACTAAACTAGTAATAAGGTTTCTACTCGAATACGTGTTATATTAGGTGGAGTGTCTTTTGTTTGCAGTAAATTGTTAGTCAAATGATTATTTTTTAGAATGTTGTTGTAATTAAGGTATATTAGGTATAACGATTTGTTTACGTACCTAGGTAAGACGATTAAGACGATAGTTTAAATACCTAATTGATGTTTGTATTTTTTGAAAGAATTTTAGTATTTATACGACTCGAAGTATTTAAACATAACATAATATGATCGTAAAATAACATTTATCAAAAAACTTAACATTTTTCACCTATAAAGTGATTTTTTCATAATTTATTATTTTTTTTGTTGAACGATAATATTTTCAAAATGGAATTTTTATGTACCTATATAAATATTAAAACTGCACTCACCGTTAAATTTCACGGGATATAACCCATGTTTCTTTTGACTAAACTTTAAATTATTTTAAGCTAATCAATTGTAAAGAATTTTCTTTAGCTATATTGAAACTCAAGTTTTTCATAACAACAATCGTCTATCAAATAACTCTGTAATAACCGTCCTTTGCATTGAAAGCTGTCAATTAGTATACTTTTTACATGAACCATAGATCAAAATTGATAAAAATGCATCAGCAAACAAACTATGTTAGGTATGTTCAATTATGTATATAAATAGGTACATCTGGGAGTAATGACTTATGTATACCGCGCTGTTGGTAAATTGCGTACATGTAATCAACGCCAAGTCCATATTAAATAATATTATACTATTAAGTATAATATCTATATTCATGTGAACTTAAAATTTAAATTCCTCGTCACACAACCTAACGAATCCTCAACAAAACAAAGTAATGTTAAACTTCCGAATATCGTCCTAACAAACATAAACGATTTTAGCATAATACATAAAGATCTAACTCGCATAGTGGGCTCTGAGGGGTTCACATGTAAAGCAATTAAATCTAATATTATCATACGGTCAAATACACGGGCCAACTTCATGGCTATTAAGTCATATCTAATAGAAACTGATCAGGAATATCATTCTTATCTCCCCCGTTCCTCCCAACCATTCCGTGTGGTACTACGCCACCTCCACCACACCACTCTTACCACAGATATCATAACCTGTCTAAACGACCTCGGACATAAAGTAATCAGCATTACAAATATAACACACAGTGCGAACAAATTGCCACTTCCACTATTCAACATCAGCTTAGCTCGCAACACCAACAACCGTGAAATATTCAAAATCACCAAATTATTAAACTCAATAATAAAATTCGAATACACAAAGAGACAACTTGGTCCTCCCCAATGTCATCACTGCCAAAAGTATGGACATACACGCAACTACTGCCGCCACAAACCGCGATGCGTGAAATGTGGAGCTGAACACTACACTGATAATTGCACAAAAAAACTGGAGGAACCAGCAAAATGTGCAAACTGTGGCGGAAACCACACGGCCAATTATAAAGGTTGCCAAACCTTCAAAAAAATATTAAGCCGCATCAAATCCAAAACCAAAACAACAAAAAGAGATAATCTACACACTCAAACTCAAGCTGTACCACCTGCACCCCACAGAAGTGGGCATGATACGCTACGCTCAAACCCAAGAGAAAAACCCTCGCCGAAGCCACAGAAAATACACCACTATCCGATCAACTTCTCCAAATCGTCACAAGTTTCCTTAACGAGCTAAAATTAATACTAAACCCCCTCCTAGCTGCTCTAACATCCCTAATAAATAAATGTCCACTCCTCATCACTTCCACTCCTTAATTAACACACGTATCAAATTTACTAATCATCCATACCATATTCTAATTAAAATCTAAATTGTATTAATTTAAATAACAAACTTGTAAAAACATGCAATATTTTGAAACATTTAAATTATAATAAATAAAAAAAAAAAAAATTTAAATTAAATAATACCATGCGTAAATACCTATAGGTACAACATGTTTTTGAAAAATAATAAAAACATGACGATGTTTGTACCAATACCAACTTACTCGAATGATAAAAATATGTAAAAATTAGTTTTAATTTCATTGTTTTAAAGTTTGAGAGTATAATAGTTATTAACAAATGGCCACTATAGTAACACTATATTGAATATTATATAGGAATTCAAATGAAATAAAACTTTAATAGGTAGTGTACATGATTTGTCTTACATATTATATTTTTTTTGCAGAACGACGGTTTTAAATTTTTACTATAAATTCCACAGATTATAAGTTTTAAAATGTTTAGTCTATACTTCTTTAATGTTTTTAAAATTCCAAAACAGATGAGTCATTTGATTAAAATTATAACTAATAAATTTAATTAACTGCATACTCATACAGTATAATATAATATATTAACTTTATTTCTTAATTATATTTCCGTTTCAATGATGATTGCAAATTGCAATATGATTATAGACATTATAGTTAGTTCCTAAAATATAATATTAAGTACAACGGTTCATTATCCATGATTCTAATTTTTAACCTATCAGTCAACGAATTTTACCGACTCTTCAAATTAATTTTAGCTTGGACATCATTTACGTAGATAAAAAGCTGAGACGTCGATTTCACGACAAACTAAACTAATATAATGATAATTTAGCATTTTTGTCTTACATTTTTTTTTACATATTATGAATATTTTTGAATTTTTCAAGTTTACTCTAACGTTTTGGTTTGTTTTTGATAGATTTTTTTATTAGCAATTGATTCTTTAGAGGCAAGCAACGTTATGACAACCTATATATCACAATACAAATTTTCATGTTTGTCATAATAATAAGTACCTATGCATTTCAACTGGATTCGTCTATATTGTTGCTTCGCTCTTTCGGATTCCGAACGAATTGTGAACGTACAATGTTTTTATTTGTATGGATACACTTTTTTAGTTTGACGTGTAGTCGGTGATACTCGTAGGTGGTAGTTTTTCGATTCGTTAAATAGTTGCCCTAATCATAAACGAAACTATAAAAAAGTATTAATGATATGAAAAAGTTTAAGCAGACGTAATTTTCAACGAGTCCCATTTAAAATCCATGGCTGGATTTATTCATTGTTTTCAAATCCGATGTTACAACACGTCAACACAAACGTTTTGTTGTGAACAATCGAATTTTCTTATTCACGCTTATTTGAAAAAAAAATGTTTCACTTCATAAATAATTAATAAATTATAAAACTATATTAATAAAATTAAAACAAATACCCAATGCTGTTTTTGTAAGATAAACTAATTTTTTCTTATCCTTCATCGGTCTGGTTCAACTCAAACGAAACTAAATACTAATTACGTTCCACTATATTATAATATGAGTATTATCAAAACATGTTTATAACACAATTATTATTGTGTATATATGTATAGTATTTAGAATAATATTATTATATGTAACCTACACGAAATTGAAAATATTTTTTACATTTAGTTGTTGATACAAATCAAATAATATAGTTGTTTATATTTTGTGTTTAAATAACTCGTCTTTATTTTAATTACCTACTTAACAATTTTAGATTTATTGCCATTCTTCATGGAAATTTTTCTAAACAACGGTCCAGTTGTTCATTGCAATATTACTGGACGGTCATATGTATTGTTAAATGATCCAGACGATATAAAAGTGAGTACATTTTAATAAATATAATATGTAGCATAGATATAAACGTAACTACAGTAATTATTAGATTTGTTTTACCCAGTGCCCATTCCTCTGCATCGATTATGCAGATGCGTATTATTTCAACGTTAATTTACATGTCAAACACGTATAAAAAACAAAATAGTAAATAAAGTACGATTTTCAAGGTCATCAATGTTTTCGATAATAATATTGTTTTCATTTCATATGACCACTAAAACCCATTTATCGCAAATCTGTCCTCAATTAGACTACTTTTGAATTCAACAGGAAAACATAAGCGCCAATGACCTCAGGACTTTTTAAGACGTTAACATATAGTAGGTACCTAGTACCACCAGCAATTTATTTATGTTTTTATTTTTTTTTAACATTAATAAACTCACCATTGAACTGCCGACTCTGTACTGCCCTTTGATCAGGCTCTCATGTTAGTATTGTAATTTTTTTTATAAATAATTTAATGATTCAGATGTTATCTATTCAGCTAATTGTACGAAATATATTATGTACATTGTTTCTATAAATCTATGGTACATTATAATATACCGGTTGTAGAATTTTCAAAATAAACATTTACAAGATATACATATTATATAGTTATATTATCACAAATACAAATTACTTACACGGAATATGTATTACCTATATATGTATATTGTTGTACTATATTTTGTTCGTGTTGCAAATATCACAGTAGGCACAATAAAAATGGAGATATTGATGTGCACTAATCAAATAAATAATAAACGGTTCATTGATTCATTTCAAGGTCTGGAATAAGATAAACACAAAAATATATATAGGTATAAAAAAATAGTATTTATAAACGTTATCATTATACGTGTAAATACGAATGATTTATATTTTATAACCAGATTGTTCGTTAGTTGATTTATTCTACATGAGTTATAGTTAAATAACAAAATTATGATTAACAAACATCTGAAAAACGTGTATGAGTAACAATATGATGAAAAAAATAATTTGAGGAAGTTTAACTATTTAAAAGTAAATCCTTGTAGGGCGATAGTATAAGGATTAGAAACACAAAAACTGACCACATTTGAGCCCTCCAACTTTGGCTACAAAAGTAATATAAAATTAAAAAGAATTCTAAATGAATTTGATCGAAATCTAGTTTCTAGATTTTCTAGAAATCACTTGCCATATAATATAACCCTGTTTTGGTAGTTTATCAAATACGTTTTTTAAATTATCTGAAACCTCCTACGTAAAATATTTAAATAAAGCCGGCATGTTTTTTGTTGAATAGATTCTGTTGTCCAGTACACAGTACATAAACAAAGGTCCCGAGTATGAGATGTTGAAGCCATGGCTGAACGACGGCCTTTTATTGAGCTCAGGTATTTTTAATTATTTACATAAAATCAAAATTATACTTATTTGATAAAAATAAAATCATACGCATAAGATGTGTATGATACTGCAGATAGCTATAGGTAGCTTTTATATCATGTCAAATATATTAATTTTTAGGTTTGAAATGGCAAAACCGTCGGAAGCTACTGACCAACACTTTTCACTTTAAGACATTAGACATGTACAATCCTGCCGTCAATAAGCATGCAAAGGTATTTACAAAAAAGCTCTTGGAAGCGTGTACGGACGATAAAGAAATCTCCATCATGGAATACGTGACGTTATGTTCTTTAGACATCATCTGTGGTAATTAATGTTATTGCGTTTTATTAAAAGTTCAACGTGACTTGCCGAGACAATTCGCATTTGACAAACCTAACCGATTATACCTATATGTATATATAAAAATCAATAGTAGTAGAATTTGACCTGTTTTAAAGTCATGTGTTATACAAATTGTCTTCAAACATTTTTATTGAGTTCAAAAAGATATGTTTTTTTTATTGTTTAATAAGTATACACCTATATAGTTGAAAAAAAAAATCGATAATTAATCACGTTTCAGTGAATATTTGAGAACAAATAAAATAAATGTAGGTATTTTATCCATAAACCAAGTAGTGAGTAATAATTACCTACTTAAATTATTGATTGATAGACCTTAATACCTATTATCAATAAGAGTGTAATAAGTAGATAGGTACAATAACATGTTATAACTTAAATTATACCAAGTAACTATACCAACTAATGCATTCAACAAAGAATTTACGATGGGCAACTAGAAGTACCTAAAACACATTTGAATTTTTTAACTGTAAAATTATCGATTATAATCCACGCCTTTATAAACATTTATTTATACGTTTCACTTGAACATAGTTGTATAATATAAATATAAAAAGTACGTATTTTATAAAGTCTAAAAAAATATTTTTTCAAACATAAAATCTTAGATTTGAGTTGCACTTACATCAGGTGAATTGCCTACTTGATATGGTGTCACACAATGTCCGTGATCCGACGTAGTCGAATTGCCTATACCAGGGTGGCTGAGTTGCACTTACTGCAGCTGGTTACACCCAAAAGGAGTTGAACGATCACAATAATTGTCATTGTTTAGGGGCAACAATGTGCGCGGGATCAGCTAGTAAAATATAATTTAATTAGTGTCCGTAGTTACTATACATAATTACGAATTACGATTGCCTGTATTAAGATATTTAAGTACGATTATTTATATTAAGATAAATACTTATTGTACATTATTAACTATTTAATAAAGAATCATATTTCATAGTCCACAATAGTCAAAATATACTATCAAAATATTAGGGTTACCACTTACCAATCCTGTTTAAATTGTATTTGGAATTATAGTTTATTGCGTAGTACTAAGAATTTAAAACATGTTTTGGATACCGGAAATTTAGCATGCATACTCACAGAGTAGTGTTATTTCCTAACTGTTTTTTTCTATAAAATATGTCAATAAAAAATTATTTGTTTGGATAAAAAGCTTCAAAATTCATCAAAACCATGAACATTTTCAAATTATAATTTTGTATTTAAAAATGTATAATATGTTACATTTAAATAATATTAGGTTATAATAATAGTAATAATAGGTTCAGCATATGGTAGTTCATATTCTGTAACCAAAAAATCATTGATAATATTAGGATGATTTTGCAGACATTTATCGATAGAAATATTAATATTATAATATAAAATATTTTAGGCTGAAACACCGTCTCCGCTTAGAATCGTTTTTCGTATTCAATGATAATATATCTTTGAATTCAAATTTACACAGTGATCCATTCAAGTTATAAGTACCGTAAAAATGATAAAATATAATATTTACAAACACAAGAAAAAACTGGCGACTATTTCAATATCCAATATAATAAATGTATGATTTATAATAATTGATAAATATTGTTAAGTCTTTACTCTTTAGCCTAAAATATAAACTAATGAGTAAAAGCTCAAACTTAAGCTGCCAAAACACATTAAAACATATGTCTATTCTGACTATTCTCTACCTCTATATTAGACCAATCAAACAATCGATAAGTCTCAGTATATAATAAATATGTTTAAAATTGAACTCTTTTAGTTTCAATTTAAGTGATTTTACCTAACTACAAAATCCTAATAAACTAATTTGTTTTCTTAGAAACAATTATGGGAACTGAAATGAATGCTCAAAAAGGGAAATCAGTTCAATACGTACATTCTATTAAAAGGTAAAAGCTAACATATATTTTAATTTGGATGTGGCAATACTACAAAATACTAATTTACGATTATTATTTTTAAAGTGCTTGCAGGTCAGTAATTGATCGAGTTTTCAAATTTTGGCTTTGGAATGATCTGATCTATAGAATAAGCGAAAGTGGTCGATCGTTTTTTAAATCAATTAGAGTGTTACACGATTTTACCGATAATGTTTGTATACTAAAAAATGTATAGTTTTATATGTGGCGACCTTTTATTATGACCACAGCGTGGACATTAGTTGCAGTGTTAGCTTTCTCCTTTTTCAGATTCCACCAAATCAAAACCGATACTCTTTAAAATTTAGTAAACAATTTCCGTAACTTGTCCAAAAAAAATATATTACATTTTTAAGTAAATCCGTTAGAGAAACACGAAGGAAATACTACTTTCCTTATACTGTTGAAAACTCGGAATAGTCAACACGAAATCTACGAGCGGTGTCTATGCTTTTGTCATTGTGGAGGTTGTGACATAATGCCATAGAGTTGGGTCGCATTTAAAGTTATTCTATCGACTCACCAGATACCATAATATGAATTGTCGTTAATTATAGGTTATCAAACGTAAACAATCATTGTTAAAATCCTCTGGAAATACAATTGTGCAGCCTGAAAGCAAACCAGCTGGTACGTATAAATTATAATTATCAATCCTCCTGTCTGACATTATTTCCAGTTTGATAAAAGCTCATACTTTCTTGTTAATCGTTTAGAAAAAAGGAAAACAAAATCGTTCTTGGATTTACTTCTCGACGTTTTGAAAGACAACCCAGATCAGATGACCATCAAAGACATTCGGGAAGAAGTAGACACTTTTCTCTTCGAGGGCCACGACACGTCTTCCATATCGATGACGATGACTCTTTTATTGCTGGGGATGCACCAAGATATTCAAGTAAGATGTGTATTTTTTATGCATACACCTACATCGTTTTAAGTTTTCGTTACATTTTAAATATAAAAACAGTAACTTTAAGGATCGTGCTAGAGAAGAGCTACATAGTATATTTGGTGACTCCGATCGAGACGCAACAATGGAAGACTTAAACGCAATGAGATATTTAGATGCAGTCATTAAAGAATCACTCCGACTTTATCCAAGTGTACCGAGTTTTACGAGAGAATTGGAAACTACTTTACAGCTCAGTAAGTATGAACCTTACTTGAAATTATAGCGGTATAACGAATATACTATTGTGGGGACAATTTTGGAGGTATAAACACATGTTTCAATAATATATTAACGGGAAAAGGACATATTTTAAATATACAATTAATTCCTGATGTTTTGTGTTTTAAATAATAATTATTATGTATAATAATAAATATATAACAGTGTGTTGATGTTATTTTTCCCTAGAAAACTATAGCATTCCTCCAATGACAACAATGGCGATATTTCCCTATATTTTACACCGGAATGAGAACATTTTTCCAAAACCTGAAGACTTTATTCCTGAAAGATTTTTAGACGAAGACAATAAATCGAAATTTCTATTTGGTTACATACCTTTCAGCGCAGGTGCAAGAAATTGCATTGGTAACTTAAACGTTCTTATTTCAAACAGTATTATAATTAAGTATTTGCGTATACTTACATACGGTGTAAGGAAAAATGCGAGTAAAGAAAATGTTATTAAAAGACGTTTCTTTCTAATACTGAGCTAAGATTATTGACAAAAAAATAAAACAAATCATGTTAATCGATTTAATTGGATATTGTTTTAGGACAAAAGTATGCTATGAATCAAATGAAAACTGTCGTATCGACCGTCTTACGAAATGCAAAGATTGTATCTTCGGGATGCAAAGAAGACATTAAAATTAGTATGCAATTACTTATAAGAATAGAGTCACTTCCAAAAGTGATATTTCATAAACTTTAGTCATTTATAATTCATAGAATATTATATAGATAGTTAGTAGTCATTCGACGAATTTGTTTATGTGAAAATAACTGTCATTGGCATTATGTGTATATGTATTATTATCTATGTATTCTATACCTATAAGGTTACCACAATTTAACTCTTTTTAGTTTTTAAGTACTTGATGTTTAATTTTTTTAGTTATCATAAATATTTACATTATATTATAATACATTTGTGTTTTTGAGTAAACCTAACCTGACCTACAGGACTTTTTTTGGGGGGCTCCTACATTTTTTTTTTAGTTTTTTTAGATCTAGAATACTTATCATCTGTTATATTAGATAAAATTGTTTATAAAAAAAAACCGAAGAGGGAGGCAATCTCACCCAGTGCTCCCTTGCTACTGCGCTGCTCTGACCCATCAAACACAATAAATACCTGCAATCACTAAATTTTCGATTTTGCATCAGAAGACATACATGTGTTACCAAACATTTATGATGTAATTTATTCTTAAATTTATATATTATTGATTAGACTCTGTAAATGTATACCTATCCAAAAAATGTAAGAAATGTGTCGAAAACAAAAATTATTTAAAGTCACAAAATAGGTACTATAATGTTGACAGTAAAACTAATAACAAACGATATAATATTATGATGGAAAACCGTCGAAAGTTCCTCGTCCACACAGAGTTGGCAACACTAGTTGATCGCTTGAAGTCATTACTCAATAGACAATATTGAATATATTGTATATTCCTCCAATATACAATCACGGATATTAGTGAATTAGCTGCTGTTGGACGCATCTGCAAAAGATAAACCAATTTATATTGTGGAATACGTTGGGTTTTTAAACATTATATTTTGTGGTCATTAATTATTTTCATTCGAAGTACTCAAAATGTAACAACACCGAAATTTTAGTTCGGCATATTCACGTGTTCGAGGCCTGCTCAATTGAAGACGTTGATACCATTGTATCTATATTAGTTCTAAATTTTTCCAAAAACGTCTATATCTAGGGACTATTGAACTTTGTTTTAATGACAAAGACGTATACTACGGACCAACAAGAACAGACAGCTAGGTACACTGTTTATTACTGGTTTAAGGAATGCGCGAAAAAAATGTCTCTGGCCAGCATTAGACAATATAAATATATAATATTGATATTATAATTTTGAACTCGTCGAGGTGACGTTTAATTATTTGCATAACTCAATAATAGGTAGGACGAAATATAAAGGTTATCTATATGTATACAATTTTGGGCGAAAGAACAATATGAATAACCGATCATTACAATTTAATAAGGATAGGATATTTTGTAATTAAAATTCTTGAAATTGCATTAAAAATATTACATTCGTTGAATTTCAACCCAACCCTAAAATACATTATACCTATGTGGTTCAGTATATTATAATATAATAATAATTTAAATTTAAAACTTAAAAAATATCTTATAACTAATGGAAATAAAACTCAAAAAATGAATAAGTAATAGATTACCACCGACTATGATTAATTTCACCAACTAATTTTTTCATTATCATATTGCATATTTTATTTTAACATAAATAATCCATTATTTAGTATATTGACTTGACATAAATCTAATGAATGTTTGTTGATTGATATTCGTCAATTTTAAATTTATTCAATTTGGTTTTTAAGAGAATCATATTTATTGTCGCTATCGTTTCTTTAACTAAATGAAGCGTTTTCGTCCATTCAGATTGAAGGTTGTCACTTTTCTTAAATATACTCCACGCCACGAGAGAAGGAACCAGTGTTCCGACCGAAACACGTTCGATTCCACGCATCTCCACGTATTTTACATACACTAAATGGCACAAAGTGGAGGGAATGCCTACAGTCTGCATGCGCGAACGGGTTCCTTCTCTCGTGGTGCTGAGTATAGAAACTAATTTAAACCAAAAAAGTGCAGTCGTGGACCATCGAGTGCAGACATAAAATAGACTTCATCTAACACCCAACTGCGCTGGTGAAGTTGCGATTTCGTTAGTTACTATTGTTGGTATTGATATAATACATCAATAACCATAATATTATTGTATTAATCAAGAACTCGAAACTTTCGATGAAACAAAACATTAAGACAATTTTAACGAATTTAATTTTATAAATCAAATGTTTCCATTTAATAATAAAACACAACAAAATTAATTGAATATTTATATTGATTGTATGTTGATTGTTGTAATATTTAAAGAATATAATTATTTAGTCGTTTAAAAATTATATTTATTTTAATATTGTTAAATCCACCATAAATTGTATAAACGGAAAAATAGTGATAATTTTTGTTTCCGTTATAATGTAAATGGTTAATAATAACAAAAAGAATACTTACCAAAGAATTAAAAATAAAAATTAGTTATTTAGATTCGTGTGTCCTGAAAAACATCTATATTTTTATTTAGAAAAGTCCACTATATCGTCTATAACGCAAAAAATCATAAAGACCCACCTATCATTACCGTTCCATTATTAATTATAACAACGAGAATTATTATGCTCAACGGCTGTGACCTCGGGGAAAATGTAAATCAGTTGTCGCTTTTCGGGCGACGTCGTGCGTGCCTAACTGCTGCAGATCGGTTAGGTTAAAAATTTTACACACTTTACCGGGCACGTCGCGACACTGCGGTGAGACGTAATATTATTATTTATAGTGTACAGTATATTTTTTTATTTAATATTTTTACATTATTAATTATTATACGATACCGAGACGACAACATCATAAATCGTTTGTCATAATAGTTCATAATATTGTCCTCTACGCCGAAACAACTACACAATATCGGTTGATTTGAACGGACTTCCGTGGAAATGATCGAAGTCAACTTTTACAGTGTGGTGTTGGTGCCGTTGGCGGGTTTGATATCGTACGCGATATGGTCGAGACTACGTATGCCGGTGGAATACCGACATATCTCGTCCCACGTGCCTTCCGTGACGAAAAGCTTTTGGAGTGAGATGGTGCTTTCGTGGAAACTTGCGATGCTGCAGCCTAAAGGTATACGCGCCACTCCTTGCAACCGTTAATAATTAATTTTAATTTTTAATTGATTTTTCATCCAATCATTCGGGTATTCGACGACGGTGTAATTGTGTAAAATGACGTAGGTACCTACATATTATTATTATCTAGAAGTAGGTAACCAACATTATCGGTTATTTCCGTCTGTATAATAATATGTCGAAACAGTATAGGACGTATCAATAGTCAGACCTGTATTATGTACAAGGCGATTCTTGTATACAATTAAGCACACTTTTTGTTGAAAAGTAATTATATTTTTAGAAATTTTTTTTTGAAGATATAATTTTATCAAAATTCAAACGATTACGGTTAGTCATAACTAAGACCGGATTTATATTCTCTTAAAATACCCAAAATATGATGCTAATATTCTCATTATATTCTCTCAAAAATTTAAAAAATATGCAATAATAATCAAAAAACATCATTATATGCTTTAATATGCATTTATTTTTTTAAATTTTTTTTCAACTATATTTTAATAGTGAGATATTAATTAGGTAGGTATTAAAAGTTGCGTATTATACCTAATGGAATAGTATTGCACTTTAGTAAGAGGAGGAAGTTGGAATATAATATAAATATATAATAGTAGGTACCTATATAATATTAAAACACAAAAACAAAATTTTGATATTTGAATATTTGATAAACGCATACGTTGATCTTATCTGTAGATATACATAAGTAAACGTTGATAATACTGCGTGTTTTCTTTTTATCAGAGTACCGCAATATTAAAATTAAAAATAAATACAAATTTTTGCTCACAATTTACGAAATATGCCAAAATATGCTAAATTGGTTAAATATTCTCTAACCCATGAAATATTCTCAAATATGCAAAAAAAACTTTTTTCTACGCATTCAGAATTGAACGAATCGTCCACATTTTTTAGCCTCATAAGACTGCATAGTCCCGGTAACGATATGTAAAAACATATAATTCCGGTCTTTAGACTCATAACTTATAAGCAAATGCTGAAATACCTAATATTTAAATTAACGTAATAGAGAACCAATATTTTTTGGGTACCCCTGTGAGGCCCCAAGACCCAAATTATAAGAAATTAACACATTGTTTGAAATACAATTTGTATACTATAGGTATTTATTGACACTCGCAGAAATTAAAATTCAGTTTCTGAATATGAAATTACAATATTATCATGCTGTCATTTAAGTAAAAACTTAACAATTATGTATGGTGATTGTCGATTTTAAGAATTGTAGAATTTTAAGAAAACTTCAAAATACAACTCACGTCAAAGATATAAACAATTACTATTCACGTAACTAATTAAATAACTTTGAATAAATAAGTTTGAAACATGTGCGTGTTAAAATTGATTAGAAATAAAAATGTAAAATATGATTTCAATATAAAACGATTAGATACAACACAATCCATAGAATATTAGAAATTAAAAACAAAATCAGGCATATACCTTTGCCTTTAAAATTACATTTTTTATTCCATCCCCCGCCCCAACGTCCTAGAGCAAAATGCCTCAGTGTCCATTGACACATTACCTACATACATTATACAAGATTGCAATACGTAGAGTAAAACATGGTAGGTAAACTATATGGAAATAATTGGAAATAAAAATAATGCATATTATATAATCATAGAATTAATATAATACCTAGTTATAATAATAAGAGGGGTACAATGTATTTTAATCAAAACACAAAATTAGCTTCGATTGATAACAATATTATATTTTTCTTACAAATTATTCAGATATATTGCCATTTGTAACGGAGTTATTTAGAGAGAATGGTCCAGTAGTTCATTTTAACCTATCAGGCAGATCTTACGTTTTGCTAAACGATCCTGATGATTTAAAAGTAAGTAAATTTTTGATTGATTTAAACATAATACATATTTTAATATTTTATGTTATTTCGGAAATACTAGTTTATTAATTAAACTCCGAATAACATACTAATTTTGTGAATTTATAAAACACTGAACATTTTAACAGTTACCTATCAACTGATTACTAATCTAAATACTTTTACAATAACTCATATTTATAAGAGTGCTGCAATGCATTAATGACCTTTAAAAATATTACCTATGTATAATATTTTGGATAAGTTTTTAAAATCCAGTTTACCTCAAAATAAGCCTGCAAAGATAAACTGATTTTTTATAAGATTATAACAAATAACTAAAAATGTTTTTAACTATTAAGTTAAATTACCCTTATAAGTTATAATCATCACAATAGATGTTTGTGTTATAAAACAAATGTAGATATTTGTGTAAATCAAAATACTAATTTCAAGGTTAGATCGACCACTGTGTATATTAATTATTAGTTTTATTTTTATTACAAAAAATATTAATAAGATTTTGTATTTTGTATAATGATTAATATATAAATTACTTATACATTTTAATAAATCATTTAAAATTTTTAAATAATTATTTACCAAAAAGGTGTACTGACTTATGTGTTTCGCTATAATAATAATAAAAAAAATAATTAAAACTAATAGCGAGTTTCATGAACAATAGTCGGACATGACAAATGTAAATCAAAAAAAAATTAAATACAAAACTGAATTCAAATTTCAATTTTCAAGTTACCACCACCGCCGCCATACTCTTCACCTCAACTTACTAATCCAGTAGAACGATGACAAAATTCTGTCAAACCTGCAGACTTAACCATATTATGATAAATTTACATAAAAACAAATAATAATATTAGTATAATATGTATTAGAATTGAACTGCGCAGTCTACTAGTTCCCACGTCATAATATTATCCCAACCATACTCTTTCTTCCGCATAGATATGCATCACTTGGTACACGACCGAGTGATGAGTACTTAGGTAATGTACTGATGATGTACCGTCAAAAACGCTAATAAGTAGTAAGGTTGTGAAGATAATGGTTACTGGTTACGGTAGATCGTAGCAATGTATTTTGATTAGAATTTATTGATTTTTTTTCCACACACATTATGTTTCGGTTTCTGTCCTGCAGAACACCGCAGAACATTCTAATAAATAATACATCGGCTATTACAAAAGCTTAATTACAAAAGCTACAATAAAATAATAATCGTATTATACTATAGTTAATAACTATGCGTTTAATTTAGGTTCTACTGTCCAGTACACAATATATCAAAAAAGGTCCAGAGTATGAAATGTTGAAACCATGGCTGAACGAAGGCCTTTTATTGAGCTCAGGTATTTTTGTCACAGTTAAATAAAACGATTACGCGTACACAATATTCTGGAAGTCGATAACAGACAATTACCCATATATAATATTATATACAGGTCAGAAATGGCATAACCGACGGAAACTCCTCACCAACACGTTTCACTTCAAGACATTAGACATGTACAATCCATCCATAAACAAACACTCGCGGATATTGGTGGATAAACTATTTGACGCGTCTGAGAACGACGATAAAGAAATCTCTATCGCTGAATATGTGACTTTGTGTTCTTTGGACATTATGTGTGGTAACTTTTATTAAGTATCATTTAATTTTCGGTCGTTATTGGTGCCAAGTGTGTAAGCCACAACTGAACTGTAAATATGAACCGAAAAACTTGTGCCATATTTATTCCATTTTCAATGCCTTCATTATTTTTTTATTACGATTGAAGATAAACATTCATTACATGTATAAATCTTTAATCGTGTTTTTTTATTAATAAATAGAAATATAGAATATAGATCATTATAACTAACAATTTTATTTTTGTTAATAAGATTCTAATGGAAATATATATTCTTATGGTATTATTTATTTATTTATCTACTCTGTAGTATTAAAACGTCAGACTTTTATATAAGAGGATAATTTTCAATGCATGAAATATAATAAATTAAATATATTATATAATATGCGCGTCCCATGTTTTCAGTGAAAGTGATTTGGCCCAAATTTGTTGGATGTCGTGTCTGACTTGTCCTATTTAATAAATACGGTATATATTCTACATTTCATTATGTTAAAAAAATAAACGAATCAACCGTTTGGACCACTGTTGTAAAAATGTGTGTCCATTAACTCTTTATAAGTTGATTGTTTGTTTTAGAAACGATTATGGGCACTGAGATGAATGCTCAAAAAGGTAAATCAGCTGAATATGTTCATTCGATTAAAAGGTAAACCTACATTCTAAAATATGTACTATACTTAAGTAGGTACCAACGAAAATAAAGAATAATTTAGTGTGATTACAATTAAAAATTGTTCTAATTTCTAACAAAAAAATGTTTTTAACTAATATATTATGTTATATTATAGCTACTTAAATGAATACATTGATTTATTTGCAGTGCTTGCAAATCGGTGATTGAACGTATTTTCAAATTCTGGCTGTGGAATGATCTGGTTTTCAGAATGAGTGGAAGTGGTCAAAGTTTTTTTAAATCAATCAAAATCCTACATGAGTATACTGACAACGTGTGTACATCCAAATGCTAAAATCATAAAACACACTCTAAATAAATAACGTATATTATAGAGCATATTGTATTTTTACTGTAGGTAATTAAAAGAAAACGAGCGTCGTTGAATAACTCCGGAATTGAAAAGATTAGGTCAGACAGTAAATTCGGTACGTAGAAAGAAAGATTATAGTTATTTTTCCTGCACATCATGAATTTCAATATTTTTAAAATAAATGAATACCTATAGTCTACCTATAGGTTTTAGGTAGTTTTTAAAACCTATAGTTTATGAAAATACCACTTACACATATTTTTACTACTGATCGTTTAGAAAAACAGCAAAAGAAATCGTTTTTAGACTTACTCCTCAACGTCTTAAACAATACGCCGGATCAGATGAGCGACAGAGACATTCGTGAGGAAGTAGATACGTTTCTTTTCGAAGGCCATGACACAACTTCCATTGCTATGACGATGATTTTGGTTTTACTGGGAATGCATCCGGAAATACAAGTAGACATTATTTTGTTTCATGTTACATTTTAATAATAATTGTAATTTAACAGGATCGAGCCAGAGACGAGCTACGTAGCATTTTTGGATACTCTACCAGAGATGCTACGATGGAAGATTTAAATGCTATGAAATATTTGGAAGCCGTCATCAAAGAATCGCTTAGAATGTACCCAAGTGTGCCAGCCTTTACGAGGGAACTAGATAAACCATTACAGCTCAGTCAGTACTTCAAATTGTCATGATATTTTTTTTTAACAGTTATTAGAAATTTAGTTTACTCTTGCGTTTTAATTTGGTCAGGTTTTTATAAATAGTTTTAATTTCAATATAAATCACGTAAGTATATAATTTTTTTTTTCAAAATAAAAAAATTACGTGTATTTATACAATTATTATACTACGACGATTTTTAGTCAAATTATAATTATTTAATAAATAAAACAAATCCGTATACATGTAATGGTAAATTTTTAACTTCAATAAAGTCAACATTTTTAATCATTCGTATTAAGAATATAATTTATTTGTAATAAGTATTAATACTAATAATACTAATTGTATTTTAATATAAATATCGAAAGTGAATACATTGATTTTAAATTACATCAAAAACATTTTGTTTAATACCTATTGTTTTGTTTTTCCAGATAAATACATTATTCCTCCAATGACTACAATAACAGTATATCCCTTTATTCTACACCGCAACGAAGAGATATATCCAAATGCTGAAGAATTTATCCCTGAAAGGTTTTTGGATGAAGAAAATAAGGCGAAATTTATATTTGGATATTTACCGTTTAGCGCCGGTGCCAGAAACTGCATTGGTAAATTATTGCTTTTGTTTTGAACATTTTAACTCAAAATATTTTGGAACTTTACATTTAGTTAATTAACGTTTGAATAATGTTGTAGGACAAAAGTATGCTATGAATCAAATGAAAATAGTTGTATCAACCATTTTACGGAATGCTAAGTTTCAATCCTTAGGACGCAAAGAAGATATTCGAATTAGTACGCAATTAATAACAAGAATAGAGTCACTTCCAAAGATGAAATTTTATAAGCTTTAATAATTTTATACATAGAGTTATTAGTGAATACTGAATATATATAACTACAACATTATTGTACCTACTCATTTAACTGTAATATTTTATTAAGTTATTAAACTATAAATAGGTAATATGTTTTTATAAAATAAATTGAACTATACTAACCAAAAGGTAAAAAGTATTTTTACAATAGTACGACACACGGTGGTGTTATTTCAAATTTTGAGCCTGGGTGTGAAATTTACATCAGTATCCAATCTATGTAAAAACGAATTAATATTGAGACTTCTATTGTAGGTACCTATAATAATTTTACATTTTTCAAACAACAAATCATCGATATTTATTTTAATATATACAACCTGTAAAACTTAAATTCAATAAATCAATAAATCAATAAATTTATCACTTCTTTCAGAATCTGCAGGACTGGTAAAAAATGTGTTTGGTAAGTAGTTTTCTTTATGCAGTAGAAAACTGGCTAGTACCTACCAAGCACTGGTCCATCACTGTAAAATCGCTACACCGCCACAACGGCGATATTATAAACATGTGATTTCGTTTGGTCGTATATAATTATAATGTGCAGCCAGCCAACGATACCGTTGTACTATTGTTACTGCTTACATATGGTATTATGCAATGCAGCTGTGACCTCGGAGATAATATTTTAAACCAGTTACTTACGTGATTATTTCGGACTCCGTCGTACACTAAACCACATCGTCTGTCACAGAACAAAACTGCAATATAATATTGTATTAAGTATTTAAGTGGACGTGAGTTTATTTTATTGTATATGTGTTGTCTCCGGCTTACAAGCGTACAATAATATGGCCAATTTTAAGTTTTACTCTGTCATTCTGTGAAGTTAGAGTTCAATGACCTATTATAAGATTTAAAGGCTAGAATATTTTCTAGTGCGTCTCCCAAGCTTTTATTGATATTTTAACTACGGAGCAATTTATGAGCGTTATAAAAATGTACACTTCTTATAAATTTTCAGTTGTCTACAAACTTACTTCGTATAATTAAAATATCAATAAAAGCCTCGGAGATGCCTCTACAGATAATTATTTTAGGTGAATTCGCTTTGGATTTAAAAACAACAGAGTACAATGGTTATCGTGAAAGTACCATTTTCATGTTCGTCTGTAAAACACATGTGGGTGTGGCGTCTACGTCCCACAGAGCCACAGAGGTAGTCTTACGAGTAATTCGTAACCGGCACATCGCTTTGCGCAGCTAATAGGTGCACTCACTTGACTGTGGTGTGACAAGTTATTATTTTTGGTTCGACAACGTCTATAAAATATCATTGTTTAAAATTTAAATTAACCGATCGCGTCGAGTCGTCTCGTTATTCTGACGCGGACGTAGAGCACAATAATATTAAATTATTATTTATTAAAATTAGAAGTACTACAGCTGAGGCCGTGACGGAGATGATCGAAGTGAACTTTTACAATGTGGTGTTAGTGCCGTTGGCGGGTTTGATATCGTACGCGATATGGTCGAGACTACGTATGCCGGTGGAGTACCGACAGATCTCGTCTCACGTGCCTTCCGTGACAAAAAGCTTTTGGAGTGAGATGGTGCTTTCGTGGAAAATTGCGATGATGCAACCCAAAGGTAGGTAACCACGACGTGGCTAACGCTACATTAATTTCGTTTTAAATATTATTCGATAAAGCAGTTATTCAAAATCTGATTTTTTGAATTTTTAAATATATGTTCTTAGGATTGCACTTTAAAATTATTTAAAATTTTCGAAACGAGAACTTAGAAACTTTTTTGTTGTTATAGTATATTTCCAAATATTTTGTGACTGAACGCAAAACTCGGAAAAAATAACCTCGAATTTTTAATCAAAAAATAAATTATATAGTGTTGCGATATATTAAAATATTACAATATATTCCATACAACATTTATTAATATTATAATTAGTTTTAAATTAATAAAACTTAACTCAACTTAATTTATTAGTCGAAAACGCACTTCCCCCACCTAACCTATAATATTTTTGGAAAATTAGAATTTTGAAAAAATCTTTTTAAAAGAAAAATTAAACACAGGTACACAACCCGCACGTAATTCAATATAATATAAATTGTATAAATATATCTAAAACATATGCGACATACGTATTATTGAAATTGCATATAAATTAGAATGAACAAATTATCTTAGTGGGAAACCGTTCGATTATACCACAAGATCAAAATAAGAATTTTCCTATAAGAACTTTCCTATCAGAAAAGCTACCGTTGAAGAAAATCCAAGCACTTTTACTGTCCTAAAAAGTGATGACATCACAAAAAAAAATTAAAAAATTAAAAAAAAATTAAAAATTAAAAAAAATTTAAAAAAAACACACATCATTGTAAAATCAATACATTCATCGTTTCACTCAGAATCTAAAAAGTATTAAATATTTAAATATTATACAATTATTAAATCATATTATTGGGTATCATACCTATTATAATTTTTGAATTTATAACTTTCTATTTTTCTTAAAAATTATTTAGATATATTGCCATTTCTCATGGATTTGATAAGAAATAACGGTCCAGTAGTGCATTTTAACCTTTCAGGCCGATCATACGTTTTTCTAAACGATCCAGATGATTTAAAAGTAAGTGATTGATTTATATATTATTATAGGTACATTTGAGTTTTAAAATTTTAGTTACCTACCTGAAAATATTTTCAAAGGTAAACTAACTATTTTTAAGTTTATAGCAAATTACTTGATATTATAGCATTCCATTTTTCTAACAAAGACATATCGTAAAAATAAAATGAAATGTGTGATATTTTTTGAAATTTAAGATATTATTTAAATTTTTACATTTCTTTATGTCTAATTATAAAATATTAATTATTAACTACAGGCGATAACAATAACAAGTAGGTACCATTTTTATTTTGAGATAAATGCTTTTGATTAAATCAAAGTAATGGGGTTTGGTAAGTTCCCACACGAAACACAGCAGGTAAGCGAGTACATATGTAAGTTCCAACACGAAAAAAAATACGCCCGTACGTAAGTTCCCACACGGAAAAAATTACACCTGTACGTAAGTTAAGTTATTAAGACTTAGGAATGACAACTTAAACGAAATTTTTTATGTATAAAATAATAATAATAATAATAGAAAAAAATCAAATTTTAATTGGTTTATTTCGAAAGCTCAAACACTTCACATAGTCAAATTATAAGATTATAACTTACAAAAAATTACACAGTATGACTATGTGAAATGTTTGAGCTATCGCAATAAACCTAATAAAATTTGATTTTTTATATTATTATTTTTATTTTATACATAAACAAATATTATACACATTATATTATTAATTTTTATTATATATTATACGGACTAGATTCAATTGGACTTTTTTTTATGCAATACAAAAACAAAACAAATTTTAACCACACCAACTACGTTTAAGTTGTCAGTCCTAAGTCTGAATAAAGTGGGAAGGAAGTTTGTGTTTGGCAAGGCTGAGCATTAATAATTTATAAAATTATAAGCAATTTATATAAACATTATTATGTGTCTGAAGTTTCGTGTGGGAACTTACGTACAAGTGTAATTTTTTTCGTGTGGGAACTTACGTATGGATATCCAGGGGTAATTTTTACCTGCTATATCTCGTGTGGGAACTTACATTCGCCCAAAGTAATATGAGTATTATTATTTGATTCGATTTGATCGATCACTGTGTATATTTTTTATTATTATTAGTGTTCCTATCACAATAAATATGTATACATTTTTGTAATTTGTATAATAAATCATTATAAACCAAGAATTCCATTATTATCTACATTTTAAATATTCTACTAATAAGGCGTAGGTGTTCAATACTTGACTCACTCGCACTTACCTTTATAACTAAAAATAAAAACAAGTAAAAATATAAACGAGTTGACGCTTACACGGCGCAAATAAAAACGCTCCGTTGAAGAATGAAGGTATTATATTGGTTAGGGAATTTCTAAGGGAACACAGCTTTTTATTTTTAATGGTACCTACATTGAAAAATAATATTATAGCCTATAGGTAACAGTCTTAAAATTTAAAAGATTTAAAGGAAGAACGTCTTTAAAAGAAATGCCCGCGACATATGAAAATTAGACGCCGCGCGCCGGTTAGTCGACGACGAGAGACTGGACCCTCACTCACACCACTGACCATGACAGACGAGGTCAACGTATCGTCATAACGTGTCGAATTTTGGAAACGTTCGGTGAATATTACGTGGATGAAAAGAAAAGACTCGACAAAAAAACACTGTGTCAGAATTTCATAAACAAAAGCTGGAGCTTAAAAATGTATTTTGACCGTTTTTCTAGAACCCCCTCAACCCCAATTATAATTCCATTAAATAATAATACATAAGGCTATCATCTTATACAACCAATTGAATACAAAGTTTTTTTTTAATTTTCTTATATTGGTCATCTGTTACATGAATGAACAATATTAAGCTAATTAGACTGTGGTAATAAAAATAAAATATAACATGAAATAACTGAGGGAAGGGGCTACATAATACTTCGTCATATTACAAAGTTTCAAAGATTTTTTTGTCATCTGTAGCCATTACAGTTTAAAACAAAATAATAACTTTACACTAAACTTTGTATTTAATTTAGATTCTACTGTCCAATACCCAAAATATCAAGAAAGGTCCAGAGTATGAAATGTTGAAACCATGGCTGAACGAAGGTCTTTTGTTGAGCTCAGGTATGTTGGACAGATATTGAGATATATGAAAGGAAACGCGAACACAATTCCGGAAGTCGATAACAGATATTACCTATCTATAATATTATATATACACAGGTCAGAAATGGCATAGCCGACGGAAGCTCCTCACCAACACGTTTCACTTCAAGACATTAGACATGTACAATCATTCCATAAACAAACACTCCCGCATATTGGTGGATAAGCTATTGGACGCTTCTGCAAACGACGATAAAGAAATTTCTATCGCTG